TGCTGGTTTCATTGCATATTGCGCTGCCGATCTTGACCGTGTTGGGGCGATTTCTCTGAAGGATCTCGAAGTTGGCTCCTCCTTGCGTGAGTTGCTGCAGCCCTTTGTCAGGATACTATCGCAAGCCGGGCAGCAATGGTCCAAAAGGACCTGGCACTTTGCCAGCAGTTCCTGACACCAGGTAGTTCTGCCAGTCTTTCTTCCAGTCGTATGCTGGCGTGGTGTGAGGACTTCGGCAATCGTTCCCAAAGCAGACGACAGTACCATTCTCAAAGGCCAGTACAGGCTTCGGTACAGGCACAACATGAGCCTGGACTGCCGAGAAGCTGTCGCTGCCGTCGCACTGCGAGCTCATGCACAGGCCGGGTCCGATTAGCAGGATTGCCGATGCTCTCATAGCAGGCCTTGTGGCAAACGATAAGAACCTAGACACCAAAAGGCCCCTCGCTGGGTTTCACTTGGGCCTGAAGCGCGGACAGTGGGGGGCCACGCAGAAGGATCTTCCAGATGCGCACATGCATCTGTGCAAGCACACAGTGCAAGTATGCTGATGGCGAAGAATCTTGCCGTCGAGGAAACCCAAAACCCACAGCATTTCACAAGGGTTTAGGGTTTAGGGTTCAGGGTTCAGGGTTTAGGGTTTAGGGTTTAGGGTTTAAGGTTCAGGGTTTAGGGTTTAGGGTTTAGGGTTTAGGGTTTAGGGTTTAGGGTTTAGGGTTTAGGGTTTAGGGTTTAGGGTTTAGGGAAACCAACATGTATCAAGACATGCGTACTTGTGTTGCTGCACCAGGGCCAATGGCTGCTATGAATGTACTTCACACACTCTATAGCTCAGACATGCTTTGGAAAATCTTCTTCCGACGCGGCAAAGGAGTGCTTTGCATAGCGTGTCAGGTGCATGACTGTGCATGCGGCTTCGTGATGAAGCGGAGGCTACCCCTGTACTGCACCCGGCGCGAGCGCCCCATGAGCAGTGCAGAAGACAGCAGAATACTAGCAAAATCTGTACAGTTCTATCAACTGATGAGTCCAACACTTGAAGTGACACTCTACGGAGAGAGAGAGGCCTCTATCAGCGTGCAGAAGAAAACATATGATTGCTTGTCTAATTCGGCTCTCTGTTTGATTGTAACGTTCACAGCTGAAGCACCATCGTCGTGCAACCACGCTACACCTTCAGGTGACAGCGTCAGAGCACGATAGTGTCCGGAGGCATTGGATGCTCCTTGATGCAACAAGATCGCTCGAACCTGATATCTGGCCAGGGAGGTCTGAAGACTGTCTGGTTGCAGGAAGTGGGGCAAGGAGACAGTGCAGCCAGCGCTTGCTTTGGAAAATGCATTGAGTAAACACAAGTACGAGTACCTTGAACCTTCAGCCCTTGACCTCTCAACCCGACTACTCGGCTTCATTGCATCAATTGTTCAAGCCATCGTACGGTCCTGTCTGCGCGCCGCCTTCGGCAGTGCGGTCTTTCTGCTACTCTGGCCGTTGTTAAAACATGTTTACGGCACTGAGCTAACTCAACACGGCTGAATTGGTCATGATGATGACCTTGTAGCCACTGCTGCAAAAGTTGGGGCCACTATTCCAGTTGTAGTAACTCAAGCTTGAAGTGCCGCATCCGGTGCCGGCTGCCCAGCCTCGGATATACGGAAAATCAATCTCCTTGGCTGCAAAACAGAAATAGGGGTTTCCGACATTAGGGGTGGGGTCCGTTTGAGGGGGTTCTATTCTGTTTGGGGTATAAAACGGGTGCCTCTATCAGCCGCCTTATCATCGCAACCCCATAAAGGACCAAATGATGCGAACACTTTCTTTGGACAAGTGGCAATCGGCACAGCCCCGCCCGCGCCGGTGCACGTCCACCCACCACTCGGCGGCGTCTTGCTGCGGAGGCAAATGCGACCCCAGGGGCCGGGGGTGCCGTCGTTAATCTGGCACTCACAGCCGCCGTTGTAGTTGGAGAGGTCGGTGACGAGCTCGCCCTCGTACATGGTGCCATCTGTGGCGCGGGTGGCCGTGATCGCGTCGGTCTGGTGCTGGAGCGTGTAAGGATGCCCCAGCCGCCAGCTGCCCGGGGTCTCGAAGAACCAGGCATGTACCATCTCCCCGGTGTCCTCCTCACGAAGCCTATAATAAGGAAGCTTACATCTTATATACAATAATATGATGTTTCTTCTGGCATTCTTTTCATTGTCTTGTTCCTTGTCTTTTCTTGTGGGGGGGAAGGGGGGGGGAGGGGGGAGAGGGGGGAGAGGGGGGAGAGGGGGGAGAGAAGGGGGGTTCTTAAAGAGTCCTTGACGAAGCCCAGCAGGACCATGGTGCCCAGCGGCACCGCGTACGAGGTGAAGCTGCCGCTCGTCCAGGTGGTCTGCCAGCCCACGCCCTCGCACTCCGTCAGGTCGGAGCAAGTCATGGGATGCTCCTGAGTGCTTAGCCCCCTAAGGCCGACAACCTAAACCCTAAACCCTAAACCCTAAACCCTTTAGGGCTTAGGGTTTAAGGGGTTGAGGGGGGTTTAGGGTTTAGGGTTTAGGCTTCAGAGGATTCCTGCAGTATACCCTGATTCCTAAAACCCTGATTCCAAAAAAAGCAAAATGTTCGGGAAGACAAATTGCCGGACGGGACGAAGATCATCTTCCTAATGTTCCCTGATCAACAGAGGGTTTTCGCGGGACCAAATTCGATAGCAATTCTGTCCACTAGCACCCATTCGTGGTGGCCTTTGGAGTTGGAATATGCGAGATTTCGTTTCTAACTTTGAAGATTTTCAGGTTCTGCAGGCCTGAAAAGGGTTCTTAGACTCTTAGACTGCTTCAAGTTCAAACAGCGCGGGATTGTAGAGTTTTTGTTGTCTAGGCCCGAAGTTTGAGAGGTCCTACTCCTTGTACTGGCCAGCTGTGTTTCCTGCAATCGAATGTTTGGGGCACTATCTGGGCACAAGGCTTGTGTAGGACTTCGGGATTTGGGAACTTCGTGCTTGGGGTGTCATTTCAAGTTGAAGACCATGCAGGGTTTGACAGCTTGATAATTGGGTGTCCTGCAAGGCACGCCGCTGCAGAAATAGCAGCAACACTACAGTCATACATTTTCTTCCACTACTGTTCCTGCTCCTCCTCCTGCTGCTGCGGCGGCGGTGACCTCTTTGTCAACCAATTGGGATATTCCCCTTGAAACTAACAGTCCTTAATAAGGAGTATAGTACCCCCTGTTCGTATCCCTGCGAAGGACTGTTTCGTATAAGGGGGAACATCCCACAACACCAGCACGAAGGCTCCTTGTGCTCGCTGGTACTGGACGGTAGGGGCAGCCGGGATGCGACCAGGTGCACGCAACAACTTCCCAGACCCCTGGGAGGATCCACAAAATAGAACCCTTGAGGGGACCCAATTTTTTGGATCCTCCCAGGGGTTTGGGTTCTGTAAAGGGATACGTAATTCCCAGATGCCAAACCCCAAGTTGCACTCAACAATTTCCGGTCTGCGTTGCTCCTTGCAACTCCAAGTAGGCAACAAGAATAAACCTCCTCTACACCCCCCTGGAAAGCGATAGTTGGAAACCTGCCAGCAACTGCCAGTATAGCCAAGCTCTGGCAGATTCGTCCAGGGCACCGTCGTCGTCGCTGTTGTCGAGGTTGTTGTGGTAGTTGTGCTAGCCTGGCGGACTTGGAGGTTACAAGCAAATTCGTGTCCAGGGCACGGTCGTCGTTGTTGAGGTTATTGTGGTAGTCTGGCAGGCTTGAAGGTCAGGCAACTCACATGTGCGCTGCATAGGCAGTTGCGTCCAAGGCACGGTGGAAGTTGTGGTCGAAGTCGTCGTTGTTGTGGTTGTCGTCGTTGAAGTACTGGTGGTGGTGGTGGTGGTGGTGGTGGTGGTGGTGGTGGTGGTGGTGGTGGTGGTGGTGGTGGTGGTGGTGGTGGTGGTGGTGGTGGTGGTGCTGCTGCTGCTGCTGCTGGTGCTAGTGGTGGTGCTAGTGGTGGTGCTAGTGGTGGTGGTGGTGGTGGTGGTGCTAGTGGTGGTGCTAGTGGTGGTGCTAGTGGTGGTGCTAGTGGTGTGCTAGTGGGGGTGGTAGTGGTGGTGGTAGTGGTGGTAGTGGTGGTGGTGGTAGTAGTGGTGGTAGTGGTGCTAGTGGTGGTGGCGTTGAAGTACTTGTTGAAGTTGTCGTGGTGGTGGTGGTACTGGTGGTGGTAGTGGTGGTGCTAGTGGTGGTAGTGGTGGTGGTTGTGCTGGTCGTGGAAGTACTTGTGGTTGTCGTCGTTGAAGTACTGGTGGTGGTGGTGGTGGTGGTGGTGGTGGTGGTGGTGGTGCTGCTGCTGCTGCTGCTGGTGCTAGTGGTGGTGCTAGTGGTGGTGCTAGTGGTGGTGGTGGTGGTGGTGGTGCTAGTGGTGGTGCTAGTGGTGGTGCTAGTGGTGGTGCTAGTGGTGGTGGTAGTGGTGGTGGTAGTGGTGGTGGTAGTGGTGGTAGTGGTGGTAGTGGTGGTAGTGGTGGTAGTGGTGCTAGTGGTGGTGGTCGTTGAAGTACTTGTTGAAGTTGTCGTGGTGGTGGTGGTACTGGTGGTGGTAGTGGTGGTGCTAGTGGTGGTAGTGGTGGTGGTTGTGGTTGTGGTGGTTCTCCACCGCGCAATAAACCCACTCACAGAAGAGAAGCCAAAGCTCGTGGGCGAGTCCACTTTGAGCGTGCCAGCAAAGCCAAGCTCCTGCTCCAGGAGGCTCACCGCCGAAGTGATGTTCACAATTGTCTTTATTTCACTCGCACTGTCATCCGCGATGCGGATCGTGTCCCCGACCGCAAAGGGGCTAACGTCATCCACAGGGATGTTGGTGGTTCCCGCGGGGATATCCTCTGAGAGCCCCACGGACTGACTCGCGCTGGTGCTGGTGGCTGTGGCTTGCGACGTGGTTGGCATTGCTGACGTTGTGGTGGACGTACCCTGAGGTCAGGTTCCACATGGCCCCACACGCGAACATCTGAACACACAAAAGCGGCTTGTCATCAGTTTCGGGCGTAGAAAGGCCTCATAATTAAAGGGGTGAGGGGGACCCCGCCCGAAAAAGATTGGTGCGGACCTATTTACGGGATTTCCCGTGTCTGGACAAATTGTCTTGCAGGGGGGGTTTTCAGCGTCGTCAACCACAGTAGCGGGGCACAGTGCGGATGCCTGGAGTTCGGATGGTTGTGGCTTCTTAGGGTTTAGGGTTTAGGGTTTAGGGTTTAGGGTTCAGGGTTTAGGGCTTAGGGTTTCTCACCGCTTCGGTAACTGAGACTTCGAGGCACTTGGTCCCCAAGTATCCCAAACTTGTTGCTCATGCTGCACAAAACCCCTACACACGCCCCCAACCCCCCCTCCCCCGCAAAAAATAATGTGCCGGCCCGACACTCGTAAAAATTTGGTTTAGGATTTATGGTTTAGGGTTTGCGGTTTAGGGTTTGTGGTTTAAGGTTCAGGGTTTAGGGTTTAGGGATTAGGGTTTAGGGTTCAGGGTTTAGGGTTTAGGGTTTAGGGTTTAGGGTTTAGGGTTTAGGGTTTAGGGTTTAATTAGGGCTTAGGGTTTCGGGGAGCCAGGCTCTAAATAAGAGCACAGAGGGCCTACCATGAGCGCGGGTTGCTCATCAGCGGGCCTCCGGGACCTACCTCCCGCAGCCTTTTGTTGCACCCACCCCCGCCCCCCGGCCACAGTTCCAAAAAGAGGCCCGGCCCAGTATTCTGAACCTGGCGACTCCAGCAACCCCCCCCCCCCCCCCCCCGCCAAGGCAATCTGGCCCTGGCGCATTTGCGGGCTGAGCGTCGTGACCTGCTTTGCTGCTGGTATTGGTGGCATGAACGCATGCCGCTGGCGAACGAACGGCCTCTATTTTTGGCAGAGGCGACACTAGAGTCGAGTGATCTGATGCGCGGTCCAGCGTGCCTGTTGAATACTGTTCTCTGAGCGACTCCCCCAGAATCCTCCCACGCCGCCCAAAAAACACGTCATCTCACCTCAAGGCCAGCCCTCGGGTTCTGAATCGAAAGCGTCTAGGAGTCTAGGAGTCTAGGCAGGACGGAGTGCATGCTTGATTTCCAAGACTGTCAGCAGCGAAGCGTTGGACCCCAAATCTCCACTCGCGCCTCGTAGTGATAGCCGTAGTAACCGTTGTGACTTCGTGGGAGACGATGGCGGCGGCGGAACTGCCGCCGTGGTCGAGTGGGAAGGTTTTCCCCCTCCGGAGCGCATATCAGTGGTCAAGCACACACGCATGTCCGGCAACGTCTCAGCATGTCCTACGCACATCTCCTCTGCCGTTCCCTTGTGGCTTGGCACTCCGACACTACTTTGGAAAGGCCTCGCCATGGCGCCAGACTTTGCCCGAGATTTCGTCCTCAGCCAAAAGCTCCTGACAGCATGGGGGCTCCGCGAGCCCTGAAACCAAACAAGAACGCTCCGAGCATGGCAAGAACATAAGAAGCATGTGCGGCTTGCTCCTCCGAATCTGCAAGATAATCTCTTGGGGCAACTTTTGACTGGATGAAGACGGCTTGGTCCCCTGTGACATTTCCGCCCAAGCACTCCGCTGTGGCGGCACAGGCACCAGCTTCCGTCATCTTCGTGGCCAAGACCAGCACGACCACGCCAAGCATCCCGCGAGCGATTCTCACGGCCATCGGGACAGTCATGAGCCAAAAACTGCGACTTTGTAAACTTGAACTGCAAAGAAGCCGACAATTGTTGAACGCTCAAATTATTTTGTACATTATATGAAAAAACACTCTAGATTCTGTGTATATATATATACACATATATCTATACAGTAAACTACACCGTGTACGTATTCTATGTTGCTATCTTTTCTTGCTATTACTGTAGAATTACGACCTACCTCCATGTAAAGGCTACTGCCGTTGGCAGTATTTCCAGTATTCTGGGTTTACCATGAAGGCATGAACCTACGTGAATGTTGGCGCAAGGAGCAAAACATGCGCTCTTGAAGCGTGCACTGTGTCCGGGTTGAGGGCTTGTGGTTGCCCTAACCCTTTGCGCTCGGCCCTTGTGTTGCCTGCCCTGACGTGCCTGGGCATCAAAGATTCTGAGCTTTCAACGGGTTATCAGCCGTATCGCTCGTTGGTCTTTCAATGTCTTTCCTTAAGTTGGGATTAGGGTTCAGGGTTCAGGGTTCAGGGTTCAGGGTTCAGGGTTCAGGGTTCAGGGTTCAGGGTTCAGGGTTCAGGGTTCAGGGTTCAGGGTTCAGGGTTCAGGGTTTAGGGTTTAGGGTTTAGGGTTTAGGGTTTAGCTTTACAGGCCTTTCAGGGCCGTGGGAAGGCAGAAAAACCCTACGGAAAATGTCCTAGGGTTTGGGCTCTCGGGGGCTTTTGGGGTTTCTGGGCCTTTACAGGCTTTTCCGGGCCGTGGGAAGCCAGAAAAATCCTAGGACAATGTCCTA